AGCCGGGGGCCCAGGGCCGAAGCACAGCGCGGGGGGCGGGTGCATACGGCTGGTTAGTCTCATGCACTACTCCAATCGCTCAAAGGCCGGAGAGGGATTGTACAGTCGTCTGTCGATCGGTCGCCTGGAGGGGGAGCTGAGAGCCGCATCTATGCCCGTTGGTCTGTAACATAAACGAAGTCGCAACTGGGGGCCGCTCCTGCCGACCGAACGAACCGAGCATCTGTATGTATTATATTATATATATTATATGTATGTATGTATGTATGTATGTATGTATGTTGTTACAGGGTGGTTAACTTCGCCAGCGGCCCCCTTTCCCGGGGCAGTCCCTGCTCTCCCCTGCTAGAGGGGCACCCTAATCCGTCACCCCATCCGACTTCAGAATGTATTCGTTGGGTTCGGCAACTCACCACCAGCATCCAACCAAATCTAGCGGATCAACGGCGCATCAACTTAGTTCCTGGTCAGCTCGCAAGTTGATATTATCACGTCCTACACCGTCCATAAGATGGGGGGCCACCTCCCATTTCATCACTCCTCAAACACCCGAGGAGCCGGCAGGCGGATTTGAACCCGGGTCGACTGGGTCAACTGGGAGCAGAAGTCAGGCCTTAACCTCTGCCAGCCGCCTGCCTGCCTGTATGTATGTATGTATGTATGTATGTATGTATGCATGTATGCATGTATGTATGTGTGTGTCCCCTTCCTCCCCGGTTTTCAGGTGATGGACAACATCTACTCCAATCGCTCAAAGGCCGGAGAGGGATTGTACAGTCGTCTGTCGATCGGTCGCCTGGAGGGGGAGCTGAGAGCCGCACTCGATGTGAGTGTGCGTGTGTATGTACATATGACTTAGATTACACTGTGGGCCGCGAGAGCCGGGGGACGAAGCCGAAACACAGCGCATATTATATATATTAGATGTACGTATGTTACATATGTATGTATGTTGTTACAGGGTGGTTAACTTCGCCAGCGGCCCCCTTTCCCGGGGCAGTCCCTGCTCTCCCCTGCTAGAGGGGCACCCTAATCCGTCACCCCATCCGACTTCAGAATGTATTCGTTGGGTTCGGCAACTCACCACCAGCATCCAACCAAATCTAGCGGATCAACGGCGCATCAACTTAGTTCCTGGTCAGCTCGCAAGTTGATATTATCACGTCCTACACCGTCCATAAGATGGGGGGCCACCTCCCATTTCATCACTCCTCAAACACCCGAGGAGCCGGCAGGCGGATTTGAACCCGGGTCGACTGGGTCGACTGGGAGCAGAAGTCAGGCCTTAACCTCTGCCAGCCGCCTGCCTGTATGTATGTACGTATGTTCACGTATTGTAACTCTTCGTGTCTTTCACATAGCTGCATGTTAGACACGGGATCAACGTGTATCCATGGCTGATGTTGACGGAGGGGCACTGGACTCGCCGCCAGGAACCAGTCGGTTTGTATGTCTGTAAGCTCAAATGTGCTGCTATGCACATTGGGCGTTGAGGGGGAACAAAATGTCTGTCAATGCCGAACCCGTACCCAGTGCGCGCCAGGGAGCAGTGAGGTGCAGAGCCTGTTTGTATGTATGTGTGTGTGTGAATGTTACAAGCATCTGAAGGTTACAAGTATGTGCCCGTGCATGTGCATCTGTGTGCATGTGCGCGTGTATGCGTGTGTGTACTGTCCATGTATGCGTGTGTGTACGTGTCCATGTATGCGTGTGCGTGTTTGCAATATAGGGATCACAGATTCTGTGTCGTAGTAGCAACACACCGGCAGCCAACGGCTCAACTGTGGACATCCGGGCGCTGCAATCCCTCCCATCCATCACCTTGCCATCACCTCAACCTCCTTCCCCCCCCTCCCTCGGCCCCTATCACCAACCACCTCTCTACTATCATCCAGTAGTTTTACGTTTCATCCAGTAGTTTTTCATTCTGTACATTATGGATAATAAAGGGTTTATCCTCGATTAAAAAAATGATATAGCGGAAGAAATTGTCGGTTTTGTCCTTCCTACAGTAGCAGTTATTATTTTGAGCCCCCCCCGATCCGGGCCCCTCTTACCCCCCCCCGGCCCCCCGCACCCCGAGCAGGCCTCGTGGGACAGCCACAACAATGTGTATCTAGGGCACCGCGAGTTGCAGCACCTGCCCACTAGCTACAACCTGAGCGCCCTGTGGAACGACTTCAACCACCAAGAGCTCCTGTTCTACGGCCCCAACGCCACTGACCGGCGGTCCACGACATTGTGGAGACTGGGCAACGCCTTTCTGCGGCGGAGCTTCGAGCTGCACCACCGTCACAGCGACATAGCTAGGCAGCTGGGGTCGCTGGCGGCGAGTGACCAGTACAAGTGGGTGCTGAGTGGGGCACGGCATGACACGACATGGTTTAGCTAGTTTAGCTAGGTGGCTAGCACCCAGGCGGGGGCCCATAACATCCACCGGCAGGATGGAACTGACGTTCGGTAGTTCAACAGTAGCCGCACCCACCGGAGCAGCGCTTCTGCATCCGCAGCTCCGCATCCGCAGCTCCGCACCCGCACCCGCACCCGCACCCGCACCCGCACCCGCACCCGCACCCGCACCCACACCCATCCATTTTCCCCACATTTAATAAGCAAAAAGGACCCACCAGCATCGTATCATCCATAACCGTGCCCTCATCCCGCCTTCCACAAACCCGCCGCAACTCTTTCTCCTCCCCCCCCCCTGACCACCAATTGATACGCCCTGCCTGCCTCCCCATCCAACGGCCCCCCCCCCCACACACACCGCCTCCTCCTCCTCTCTCCCTTTCCCCCTACGCACACACATATGCGCTTTGAGAACAGGTACATCCACAGCAACGGCCTTTTCGAGCTGTTCCAAGGCTATTCATCGACCCTGAATGCCTTCGTTTATCAGGCAGTTGACACCTCCAACACCATTAACCGGCTCCAGCTGGTGCTGTTGGTCATTGAGGGCTGTTGCATCTGTGCCTTAGTGGTGGCGTACATGGCCTGGCTGCTGAGGAAGGTGAGGACCCGAGCGGGGGGGGGGAGGAGAATAACGTGATGCTGCAAAAAGAAGCAAAGGATTTCCCCAACTACCCCCCCTCCTAAACATTCCCAAAGTGCCAGACTGCTAGCGATAAGTCCTAAGCGATATGAGGTCATCAATGCACTGCCCATGCACTGGTTCCGGAAGGCGCGAGGGGAGGGAGGGGGGGGGTGGCGGGCAGCGAGGGGGGAAGGAGGACGGGAAGAGATGAGGTAAGGGTGGGCGGGAAAAATAACGGCTCAAAGCAGCAGGGGGAAGAAAGAGATGCAGGCCGCGGCGACGGCGGCCGAGTCAGATCAGCGCTGCCTCCAGGCCCGGCCTCCACTCTCCTTCCCTGGACTCAGCTCGCATCACAAGGAATAAATACCGTGTGCGCCGCGTGCAGTGTTTGCCTTGTCAGGAGGCTTTGTAATCGGCTATGTAATAAAGGGGAGGGAGGGGGCAGGTGATCCACCTGTACAATGGTACCGGAAGCCTCCTTCCAGATTTCCCCCCTTCCCGGCACATGCCGTACCAATCGTATCCTCCTCCTCGCCCTCCCACTTCCTCCTATTCACTCTTCTCTCCACTCTTAATGAGCTCTGTGCTACTACTACTACTATTACTATTATTACAACTACTATTATTATTACTACTACTATTACTATTACTACCATTCCATAGGTCGACAACCAGCGGTACGGCATGTACGGCGTCTTCCTGATCGTACCGGTGGGCCTGGTGAGGGGCCTGGCATCCAAGACTGTGGCAGTGGAGGAGGAGAACAGCGACGGCGAGGAGGAGCACCCCGAGGAGCTGGCGGCGGATGACCTGGGAGGCGGCCTGGTGCCTTCCTCCTCGCACCCCCCTGCGGGACCCGGAGGGGGCGATGGCGGCGGCATGCGGATCAACCTGGATGCCAGCGGTGGCGGGCCGGGGGGTGGCGGCAGGTGTGTGGAGAGAGGGGACGAGGCAGTAGACGGGGCCGGGGGCTCACTTTCTGATGGAGAGCGGTTTGGGTGCTCGTGTGTACATGTGTGATGTGTGGAACAGGGGGGTTGGCATATCTTCACCCGTGGCAGCTACCCGGCGAAGAAAATCTGCCTTCCCCGGTAAGTATTTCGGGGCACACCCTCAACCAGTCACCCAAGTCAATTTTTCAGAGGTTCCGCACCCATCACCGGTATCCAACGGAATCTGCCGCCGGATTGACGGCGGCTCAACTCCATTCCTGTTAAACAGCTCGCTTGATGATCACTTTATCCCAGGTCACCACCGTCCATCGACTAGGCACACTATATCTTCCACCATTGAAAATATTTCCGATCTTGATAGGTTTCGATCCCAGGAGCTGATGGTGGCACGATGGAGTTATCGAATCACCGCTGCACCTGCAGCAGGAATCGACGTAGTTTAGTACAGCATGAACGACATGCATGGCGTTGCCAGACCTGACGGAAAACTCGCAAAGTGAAAACTTCTACGGAAGACACAGCACTACATATCAGGCCAACTAGCGTCGTACGCTGTACAACACCCACCCACCCCGACACAACCGCTGTGCAAGCCAAACCTCAATTTTCGCTGCAAGCTGTTATGCTTTGCGAAAACCAAAAAAACTACCCAACATGCCCGGAAAGGTGTTTTCCTCTGGCACCTCCTAATTTGCGTGTGGTAGTCTGGGTGAGGGTGGGTGGGTGGGCGGGCGACGAAGAGGAAGACGGCTGTTTCAGGCATTACACCCCAGGCCCCTCCCCTCGCCGTTTCCCTTCCTAACCCCAACCCCCCCCCCTGTGCAACCCCATCCACCCGTACAAA